AATAATTATTAATGAAGTTTTTACTTTAATATTTTTAATACAAAAATATGCAAAAAACTTAAAACAAGTTATGAAAAAATATATATAAGTGATTCACTAGTATGCTAGCTAGCTAATGATTTAAAAGTATATACAATTGAACTATATTAAAAAATTAATATAAAATATCAACAACAACTTCAGGATTTTTTATCTAATTCTGATAATTATAGTGAAATTAATTTAGAAAGATTTTTACCTTAAGATGCAATACAATGCTATTATTATATTAAAAGTCTTCTAATTACTTTATATTATTATTATCAAGGCAATTATCTTGGTACTTTTAACTATATTTAGAAAATTCTAATTAATTTTGAAAACTATTCTAAAACTACTCAAGTATATATAATAGCAGCTATTCAAAAAAAATTGTTACATTACTGTATTTTAGTTAACAAATATGAAAAAATATACTAAAAAAAGTAAATATTATATACTTTGTTTAAAAATATATAAGATTTAATATACTAATTTTTAAATTACAAAAAATATTATTAGTATTTATTAATTAAAATTATTATACCTGCTATTTTGCATATTTTATATTATAATTTAACTAGTAATGCTACTACAGTGGCCTATTATATTATTATAGACACTTTTTAAAATTTTATATTGAGCTAAATAAATAAAATATAAAGCTAAAAATTATACAAAATATTATTTAAATCTAAAGCTTTTAAATAAAAAAAAATTATAAAATTCTATACAGTACTTTTTAAAATATTTTAAGTTTTAAAATTTTTTAGATTTTTTTATTTGTACAAGTTACTAGTTTTTAATATAGGTTTAATATAAATTTAAGCACTTTTACTAAAATGCACCTATGGTATTTTTACACTATAGGTCCTGTTTCTCAAAAACGTATTAAGTAAACAGGATCAAGTTTTCTAAGTAAAAATATTCAAGTCTTTCAAAAACCCCATAAGAACTAAAATCGAGCCCTATTAGGCTCTTATGTTAGCTTTATAATATATTATATAAAAAAAAAAAATTTAGTAAATTACTATACTATATAGTAGTACTAGGAATTGGACATGTTCAATTAAATTTTTTAATTGGACAGTTTTGGACATGTCCAAAACTGTCCAAAACTATTTAAAATTGTCCAAAATTGTCCAAAACTATTTAAAATTTTTTAAAATATTTTTTAACTTTTTTTTAACTTTGAATGAAGATATCTCAATATTTATCTAACCAAATTTGATCAACTTTTTTTTTTTGAATTATATGGCTTTCTATAATTAAAATAAAAAAATTTTAATCAAATTTGGTCAGGTGGGTGCTGTGATATCTTCAATTAAACTTTGTAAACAATTTTTTTTTTTTTTTTTAGGAGTCAAAGCAGTCATACCAACACTTTATTACTTAAGACTAAGAAAGAGCAATTCGTATGAGTGAGATTACAATTTGATTATCTAAGTTTTACGGCTAATGCCACCTTATACTAAAGTGTGATTCACCTAGTTTCCAATTGGACCTATATGTGACCTGCCAAGTGCAGAAGCAACCTTCTTGTTTCTTCTAGATCTACCTCAGATTTCGAATCCACAAATTACTGGCCGGGATCTACCAGCCTGTCATGACTACCCATCCCTTCTTGAAAACTTTTCCCACCAGATTCGGGCAGAATAGTTTATCTCTTACTTTTTTATAAGGGAATACCATATGCCAAATTTACCAAAGAAAAACAAAATTTAGAAAAGAAAAAGACAAAAAGAAAAGAAAAGAAAAAAGAAAACATATTAAGAACAGTATGTCCTAAATCTGATTCCATCGTAAAGGGAAGAAGATAGAAAAAGCACAAAAAGGGACAAGGTATCATAACATACTTTTTTTTTTAAAAAAAAAGAAAACAAAGAGAGTGCACTATTATAATCTATGCAAGGCTAAAAAAATTATATACTAAATGCAACGTTTGTATATCTCTATTGTAAAGCTTCACCTTAACTTCAGGTTTTTCTTTCTAACTATTCAATGTACTCTGGATAGTTTTGCTCTAGCCCATCCTAATCTGTATCTTAAGCCAGGTGCTGCTGCCGTCCGTAGACCTGTATCTCAAGCCACTTGCTGCCACCATTAGAAGTACTTTCTTCCTTATTAGAGGTTTCTTATCCAGGGCCTGATTCTGTATAAAGGCACCATATTTATAAAACATGTGGTTGCAGTCTAATAGGCTATCTGAATTTGGAATGTAAACAATGTCGATCTTTGGAGGAGGTAAGCCAAATCCCCACTTTTTTTGAAAAAATTTTGGAAAACTGGCAGAAGAGTGGAAGTGAATAAGAGAGGAGTCACTTGTTTGAATAAAGGAGTGTGGCTTGAGAATAGCAAGTTCTTCACTATTCTCCAGTTATTTCGCAACAGGTTGCTTCATCGACAGAGAAATACTATAATCCCCACCAAAATTTTATATACAAGGGCACACTTCCCTAGCTAGTTATCTTGTATAAAGACGCTTTCGGCTTGTATGTCGAATATATAAAAGAGTCCTTGTGAAAGCACAAGAGGTTGACCTTTATAAAAATCGCACTGTTGTCCACTTACTACAGGTTTTTTCTACTTCTCTAGTGTCCAAACTTGACTTTTTTTTTGTAAGAAATTTTGGTCCAAGTGATTGTTAAGAAAAGTTGATGTTTAATCTCTTTGTAAACAATTTTTGCTACAGCTTATATTTAATAGATATTTAGAATTTTATAAAACAAAAGCTTTAATTGAAGATATTTTGGCATTCACCTGCCCAAATTCATTCAACTTTTTTTTTTTAATTATAGTAAACTACAAAATTTAAAGAAAAAAAGTTGATCAAATTTGGTCAGTTGGGTGCTGAGATAACCTTGATCAAAGTTTGCAAACAACTTTTGCCACAGCTTATATTTGATAGATGTTTAGAATTTTACAAAAAATGTTAATTGAAATTATCTTGGCATCCACCTAACCAAATTTAACCAACTTTTTTCTTTGATTCTGCAGCTTTCTATAATTAAAATAAAAAAAAAGATAATTGAAATTGGTCAGGTGGATGTCAAGATAACTTCAATCAAAGTTTGTAAAAAAAACTTTTGCTACAGCTTATATTTGATAGATGATGTTTAGAATTTTACAAAATTTTTGGTCGAATATATCTTGGCACCCACCTGACTAAATTTGTTTAACTTTTTTTTCTTGATTCTAAAGCTTTCTATAATTAAAATAAAAAAAAGTTGATCGAATTAGGTCAAGTGGGTGCCAAGATATCTTTGATCAAAGTTTGAAAACAATTTTTGCTGCAACATATATTTGAGACATTTAAAATTTTATAAAACTTTGATTGAAGATATCTTGGCAACTACCTGACCAAATTCGATCAACTTTTTATTATAAAAAGCTGTAGAATTTAAAAAAAATATATTAATCGAATTTGGTCAGATGTGTGTCAAGATATCTTCGATCAAATTAAAAAAAATTATAAAAATTTAAAATGATTTACATGGGTGTAGTATTGTATGGAAATATCAATTTCCTATATATATAATTTTGTCCAAAACCAATTAAATTTAGTTTGGTTTTGGACAAGGTTTTGAACAGGTTTTGAACAAAGTGTCCAAAAATCAAAACTGTCTAATTTCTCGGCACTGCTATATAGTAATAAAATTACTATATTTGATAATTTGATAATTTTATTCTAATAATTTAATATTAACTTTCAATAATAATATTTAGCTTAAAATTTTTTAAATGTTTTTAAAAATTTAAAATTATATATAATTTATTACACTAAACAAATTTTACATAATAATTGTATATAGTTTACTTAATAAAAAAATTTTTTTAATATACAGTAACTATGATAACTAATTTTTTCAAATTACTAATTTTGTACAAGTATAATATTACATAAATTTGTATCACCTTAATTAATTCAAAAACTACTATATAGAATTTTGCAAACTTTTTTTTATTTAAAAATTTTAGATTTAAATAATAATTTGTATAATTTTTAGATTTATATCTTGTTTATTTAGCTCAATATACAATTTTAAAAAGTGTCCATAATAATATAGTAAACTACTATATTATGTTTTATTAATATACTATTTTATTTTATTTATAAAAAAAAATAAAAACTATAATTTATATTAATTATATGCAGTATTTAATAATAAAAAAAGCTATTAATATAGTATATAGTATATAAAAACATCTATATACAGTAATACATAATTAAAACAATCAAATAATTTAAAAAATTATAATACAGTATTATAATAATCAAAAAAAAATTGTTATTAAATTTAATATGCATAAAAACTTAAAAGCTAATATTAAAATTTTAATGTAATATAAAAATTTAGAAGCTAGCATATTAAATTTTATTTATTAATATAAAATGCACCTATAGAGGTTTTGTATCTTATATGTTTTATTATGTTTTTTAGATTTTTAATATAAAAATTTTCAACACAATTTTCATGATAGTGTTAGTATTAGTATTTAGGGTTAGGGTTTTTAGGGGCGTAGAACATTCTTACTTAGAATTTTTTGCATTGATTAATTAGCCAGTTTTTGAGATAATATATGCATAGATATAAAATACCATAGGTGCATTTTAGTAAAAGTCTTAAATTTTACTACACAATTTCCAAATACAGGGTGACCCTCGTTAATATAAACCCATTTGAATTGGTTTTAAATCATGATATTAATGAGAAATCATATTAAAGTTGATATACCGGTATACTGTATGAGGGAATTTTGATATATAAAAATTAGAAAATTTTGGATTTTGATATTAACGAGGGTCACCTTACGAAATTATTTGTGATATATTTGTGATATTTACAAAAATAATTCATTATCTGGGCCCCGAAGGGGTCCAGAAATGACACATAGAGATAAACAAGTTATTGACTGTGTAGCATCCAATAACGGTATTATCCGGCTGCTTACGATGACTAAACTAACAGAATGACTACAGAATGACTAAGTTCCTTCGGTAATGATTGCATCATTATTATCAAGGTATCAATTATTCTGTTGGTACGTACGATCATAAGAAGGTGTCACGAAAGATATTTTTCCGATAATCTCTCAGATTTAATTTAATTGGTTAAAAAAAAAATTTTTTTTAAACAGTAAAGTAGATAATCATTCAACGATTAGTAGCAAACTTGATCAACTTTCGATTAATCGATTTTTGATTCGTATCAATACCTCATATTAAATTGCTTTGTTCAAATAATACTTAGATAAGTGCTGCTAAAAGAGACCAGAATTCGAGCTTTAAATTTATATGTAATTTATCAAATATCCACTAACATGTGTTCGGTGATGTTTTATTCATTACAAATTATAAGAGGCTGAGCCCAGTAAGTTGTAAATTTAAAACCCGAAGACTATTTTTTTTTTTCAGCAATATTGGTATATTTTCCACATATGCGTGTCTGACAATTGTTATAGTTAATAATAATATGCCTTTTGCTTTTAATGTAGCTTTGATTTTTTTATTAGAGCCTCAAGATGTCTTTTTTCAGAAGGTTTATCTTTCGCCGATCGTTTCACCTTTCGCCAGGGGTTTCACTATTTACCAAGGGTTACGATATTCGCCAGGGGCTTCGTCTTTCATCAGGGGTTTCGCCTTTAACTAGGGGGTTTCATCTTTCACCTTCCAACAGCTTTAGGGTTCATCTTTCTCCATTAACACAAATGGTTTCGCATAATAGCTATAATAAAGAATTGGCAGTTAAACTAGCAGAAGAATTAAAATATGAAAAAGAGAATGAACCTGATTTATCCGAACCATCATTCATAAAAAACTTTTTATCAGAGAATCCGTTTAAAGTATGATCGATTCTCTCTTTTTTTTTTATTAAAGTTCAACCACATATATTACATGCATATTGCATGAAGTGATGACTTTTTTATTTTTTTGATGTAACAGATTGAAGATAAATTAGGCTCTAATGAAGTTGCACTAACGAGAGCATTTGGAAATGAAAAGTAAGTACATTGATTATTTGTTAGATTTTTAGTGAAATTTATCTAATTATGATATTATTATATAGGATTCGATTACTTTTTGATATTAATACATCAGAACAACAAGCAGAACCAATTTCACTTAGTGGTGACGAAGAAGAGGATGATAGTGAAATAGATGTAAGCATCTTGTTGATTTCATTGAAAAAAATTCTTTGAATTTTTTAAAAAACCACGTAATTACTAAGGATACATCTCAAGAAGAGGAGGAGGAAGATGAAGTAGAAGATGATGAATCAGCAGAACAATCATTACCAATCAGATGTTCCATCACTATTGAAAAAGTATGTGATGAAAATTTAAAATATTTTAATAATTGAAGATTTATATTAATAATTTTTTTTTAATAATAAGCCTGGTAAAGGTGCATTGGGATTCGAGTCAATAATCGCCGATGGTGTTTTCCTTATAAACTATGTATCATATTATCAAGATGCCAAATTAGCTGGTGATTGGACAGCTGAGGCTGATTGGAAGAGGAGAGGCTATTATCCTGGTCCATCATTTGAAACTTTGGATAATGTTTGTGCTTATTTCATTATAACAAAATTGTTGTTTATTTATAAATTTATTTTATTTGTTAATTCATTTGGGATTTTTTTTTTTATTAATAGGATGTCCAAGTTCTCTTCGAAAAATATTTGGAAGAACGTGGTATAAATACAGCTGTGGCACTTTTCATTTCTAATTATGTTGAATATAAAGAGCAAAAGGAGTATATGAAATGGTTGGAAAACGTCAGGAAATTTGTCGATGTGCCATAGTCCCTTTATGTGAAATTTTATACAACTATTCATGATCTGACAAATTAAATCTATATTATATTATTGCATTATGAAATAAGTATTATACAGCAATCTGTATAGAATCCTGAATTCGTTTGATTAAAAAACAATGACTATACAACAGATTAAACCATTAAATTATTTGTTTATTTCTTTTTCTTTTTCTTCTTTGTACGAATTGGAATATTATAAGGATCTAAACCATCTCTATAATGTTGCGTCCATGCAAGTATCCATCTGATTTTATCAAGATTAGTAAAAGGATAAAATAAAAGTTTAAATCAAATGAAAAAAGGTACCGTCGCTGTTTAGTAGGTAATTCCAAAACATCTTTCATTTCTTGCGACGAAGTGGTGAATAGATGATCCCAATCCTATTTCAGATAAAATCTTAGAAAGTAGGTTAATATGAGAGGACATTTGAAAAGGTAAAAGACTTGCCCGAAATTTATCAGCCAGATCACCGCAACCACGACCAATTTTTTCTAGAAATTCTTTGTGCGCGGTAATAGAACCTTTATCAAAAGAAAAGAAAAAATAAAAAGATTGAATTTGGAAACTTGTTTGATGAATTCTAAAAAAATCTAACCTCTAGGTGGTGGTATGGATTTTTGCTTATTTTGAGAGTATTGACGAAATATAAATGTAGCAAACGCTGTCTTGCTTATTGGAATTTCGGACGATGAGAGACGGAATGATGACCTATTCAAAAAAATTGAACGCAAGAAAGACATTGCTTTTTTTTTTTTTTTTTTTGAAATAATCAAATACGGTTTTACCATAGATAATCGGTAAAATCATATGATCTCAACGTTTAAAAAACCTTAACCTTACTATATATATTATCGTTACCGTTGCCGGGTTACATGCAATTTACCCAGTTTCCAAATTTGCATAACAGACGTAACTGTATTGTACGCACGTACGTACACTTTAACTCTCTTTCTAAATTAACAATGTCAAATTCAACAACAAACACTACAATAAAGCACAATCCCTCAGAAGTAAATGAGTCTAGCATTTCTGTTATGGAATTTTTATCAAATATTAAGAACGATGGAGTGAGTGAAGAGGAGGTAGATCCAGAAGCTAGATCGGAATTAATAAAGTATTATAGTTAGCTGTTAGATTCCTTTTGAAAATTTCTACATTTGAAAATTTTGAAAATTCATTATTTTTTTATACGCTTTATTTAGAGAAATTGTTGAACTACAAGGGGGTCTAAAAGGTTTTTATTTTATTTTATATATATATTTTTTTTTAAAAAAAAACTTTATAAACTTTTATCTAAAATATTTATCTAAAATATTTATCTCTTCTAAGCTTTAATTCAAAAAATGGAATCTGTAAAAGATGATCACGATCAAATGCAATCGGGAAACCAGATCCTACAAACTTATATTAACAATCTAATGTCATCCAATGTGTTGACTTCTGTGAATGGTGGAAAGAAAGACGGTTGACTTTTGTGAATGTTCACTTCTATGAATGCTGGAAAGAAAGAAGATAGTTGACTTCTATGCTGTTGACTGGAATTAGGAATCACATTGGATTCACAGATTTCAAATTGGTTCCAAAGAAAATTCCATTGGAAAAAATAATCATATCGAAATGAATGTAACCGTATATAGTAGTTAATAATCATTTAAATAACTGTACGATGAAGTTATATGTATACAGTTATATGAGTTTATAAATATTACTTTTTTTTTCGACCACGAGTATTTTTCACATGTAACAATTTGGTTTTAAGATCTCAATGGTTCAAGATCTTACAAGTATGTGATTTCGATAATCCAAAATATTTAAAAGCCGAATATTCAAGATTTTGAAAATTCGTTGTGCATGTATTGTTTTTGCACAAAAATTAACAATTACTGTGCAGTATGCACAAAAAATAAAATAACATTCCTGTATAAAAAAAATTTTTGCACAGCATATTGCCTCTTGAATATTCAAAATTCATAGAATAGTACAATAGCTAACCTCATAAAGTAGCGTAACAAACATGACTGATACCATCGAAGTTTGTATCACAATTAATATTTTATGTAAGGTGACTTTTCATCAAATTTAATTTTTAAAAATATTTTTTTAAAAATTAACCAATAAAAGTAAATCTAATCATTAGCTCTATCAAATTTATCAGTTAAATTTCTTATAATAAAGTTATGTATATTTGAAGTCATTAATAATAAATTTATTTAAATTTTTTGTCAAATTAAAATTACAAATAAAGAACATGATCGGATGGTATAAATATATAATGTATTTGAAATTTGCCAGTGTTTGCGGTACGCAGATTGGAAAATTATCCGTAAAATTTTCTTCGAATCTGCAGATTTTATTATGTCATACATTTCACATATGCTACGCATCCTTTTTTGAATTTTTATTATGTTTACAAAAATTATCAAGCTTGCATAGAAACAATAAACACCACCATATTAGTATTGTTGATATTTACGTATTTATCCCTTGACAAGAGTCCAATGACAGCTCACCACCAGAATTGTAAGATCGAAATGTGCGACAGGTTGTCTTACAGCTGTTCACAAATTCTGGAACACTGACAAAAAGTTAATTGATACTATTCAGCAGAATACGATAAATTTTTGATTCCGACATTTTCGAAATATAAAGGTATAACATTGGAAGAATGATTTCAGCACAATGCTTTATTTCTTTCTTTTAATATACTGTATTATTGTAAAAGATAGATGTTATACTGTAGATGTTCTTAAAATATAGGAAATACTGTAAAAAGTATAAAGAACTCTACAAAAAGAAATATATATTTAGTAATAAACAAATTCAAAAAAAGTTAGGATCTGGATAGGACATTTATTGGTTAGTTTGATCATACAGACCAATCAAATTCTTTGTTGAGTTGGAAATAAGGGCTTGAGAAAACCTTAAGTCTACTTAAATGAACTTAAATGGGATCTTAGATCCTTAAACGACTTAAGCGGAATTAAATATTTTAAATACGTACAAAGGGCATTTTCAAACACCTCTATCAATAAAGAAATTGATTATCCAATTTGATCAAATAGACCAATCAGATTCTTTGTTGAGTCCATTCCTAAAATTCTACGTATGTATAACGTATAATACTGTAATAATAATGATAATGCGTAATAATAATAATGATGCGTAAAGTACGTAATAATAATAAGAATGCGTAATAATAATAATATACTATATACAGTATCATTATATTATATGAGTGCCGCCAAGGGAAACCTGTCATCGGGCTTTCAATTATATTTTGTACCGGACATATTCCCTAAGAAATTAAAGTATAATTGAA